AATGTGGAAATATTTATATTACATTAAATGCAATTTAAAATATCGTTTAATGGAACATAAAGGATATGTAAGAAATTAAAAAAATTAAAATTCAGCCATAGTAGAACATGTACATGAAACACAGCACACGGTATTGAAGGAAAAATTGTAATATTAGCTCAACCAAAAGGTATTGTTACGTATCTGCTTATTTGTTAATTTCCGGTAGAAATTCTTTCCGAGGAACTTCAGCGATACAAGTCCCTTCTTGATTAAAACTAGTTTATTCTTTCTCAATACAAACTTTTAGTACACAGTAATTCCACTCGTCACTTTAAACTTAACAACTTTTATAACACGCTATAAATCACAGCGATTCACAACCTCAATAACTTTGCCCGAAACTCACCGTGACTACTGTTCGCTTTATCATACATTAATTCCCGCCAGCTTTCTCTGTCAGGCTTATATACCTACAATTGTTTGTTTCTGAATTTCGCTCAAAGCTAAACGAGGGCTATCTGCGCTAGCCGTCTCTAATTTAGCAGTGTAAGACTAGAGGGAAGGCAGCTAGTCATCACCACCCACCGCCAACTCTTGGGCTACTCTTTTACCAGCGAATAGTGGTATTGAGCGTCACATTATAACGCCCCACGGCTAAAAAGGGCGAGCATGTTTGATGGAAGGGGGATTCGAACGCGCGATCCTCAGATTGCTAGTCGAGCGCCCTAACCACCTGGCCATGCCGGGCCTTATATACTAACAAAGAGGCTTCGACAAAATAATTCGAGAAACTCAGTCACGCATGCGCTAGCAGCGCCACGTGACTTCCGCTGTCGTAACAGTATTATAGCCAATAGTATTCGTGAATCCTTGAAAATAATTAAATATATAAAAAAAAAATCATTTGTTGTTAAATGGATATGAAGGTCCGGCGAATATCTATGAAAAAATGTAGGGTAACCTTTTCTAAAAAATTCACGCGAGCATTATTCAACATAGTTCACATGACCAAATTACCAACAACAAAAAAGTATAAATAAGACACGATTATGTCTTGCTACTCACTGTTGAAGATGACCTTGCAAAGTCGAAACATAGAGAGTCAACTTTTTAGTGTTCATAGACTGGCCTTATTTAAAATGTTTTTAATTGTGTACCTAATTTAATGTTATGTGTTACTTATTATTTTAACGTAATTGTTGATAGGTGTTGTTTCTAGGATACCACGTACATTCTTAAGGGATACTTAACTAGTATACCAAAATTCTTGTTTATACAAGCTATAGCTAGAATACTTTATCTGCTATAATTTATTACTAAGGAAACTCGACAAATTTCATGGAAACCTATATTAAATTCCGATTAAATAAATCTATCTGCACAGACCAAAACTAAATATCAATTCAGTAACAAGTATAGCTAACTAAATACTTAAATTTTAATAAAATATTTAACACTTTTTGTACGATCATAACTTATTATGAAATATTTTTCTATGTATAAGAATTAGATAATATTTATTTCACATTGAAGAAGAATTATAGAAGATGCCATATCTATTCTACATAATATTGTTGCGTCATCGAGATCACGTGACTATTCTCACGCCCTCTAGTTTCTAGAACTATCCCGTACCTTGGCGAATGCTCTAGTATTTACTAGATAGGGTAGGCTGGTATATATAAGAGGGTGACAACGTGACGCAATAATGTGTGTGTAGATAGTGAGTAATTGAACTGCAGTCACAGGGTATTGTTGAAGTTAACGTTCGTTCGTTATAGTGTTTGTTTTAGCACGAATATTGAAATTAAGTGTATCGTAAAGTTATATTCGTAAAGAATAAACCAGTTTTATTAAGTAAGGACTTGTGTCGCTAAAATTTCGTCGGAACGAAGTTACAGAAAGTTAATTAACAAACGGAGACGTAACAATACTAAATTTTATCAAATTCGTATTTAGAAATTAGAGTAATGAGAAGATACAAATAAATGGTTTACTTATTCTTATTGTGTAAATTAAACCTTAATTGGAAAACTTGATACCCGCTAAATACAAAAAATATTATTTATTGAACGTTAATTATTGTTATAATTGAATTATACGTCACAATGTGGAAAGGTATTATACCAGTTTATTGGTGTTAACAAGAAAAAAGATGGCGGACGTGTTAGACTTGGACGGTGGTGGGGAAGATTTTGAAGTAGACGAAGAAGGAGATCGTGAGTTTAATAAACATTTTTTTTGTGTATTATAGTTATGTTTAAAATAACCTTTTTCTGAATATATGGCATTAGTTATAATATACATCTGGTACCTGATGGTGACAAAACCTTGTCGAAATGTTGTACATTTCCTGTTATGGTAAACTTATAATTATATTAAAATTCTTCTTCATTACCCAATCAAGCTGTCCCCAAGCATTATATGCTCTGAAGATTAGTGATTGTTTGCACAAACTCGGCTCTTTGGTTCGGAAATGGACTAGCAATTTTCATTTTTAGATTTGGTCGTAAATGAAGGTGAGGTGTTTCAGTTGATGAAGCAGATAAATGAATTCAAAGCCATGAGACCTGATAATATCCATCCAAAGATACTAAAATTGGCAGCAGATCAACTAGCAAATCCCTTAACAGTAATTTTTAACAACTCTATACAGTCAGCAAAACATATGACTGGTGATCTGCTATTGTGACTGCAATTCATAAGAAGAGAGACAATAAACTTGCATCAAATTGTAGACCAATTTCTCTCACTTCACATGTGGTTAAATTATTGGACAAAGTTATTAGAAAAAGGATAATTGATCAACTTGAAAGGTTAAATATAATTTCAGACTCACTACATGGTTTTGTACTGGGAAGATCATGTTTTACTAATTTAATTGAGACCTTGGAAGATTCGACATTGCTGTATGATGAGAGTGCACCATTTGATGTTATATTTTTTCAATTTAGTAAAGCATTCGATTCTATCCTTCATAGAAGATTACTACTTATGGTATTATAGGAATATCCATAATTGGATTGAAGCATATCTCAGTAATAGATTTCAATATGTCTCGGTCAATGGAGAAAAGTCTGGGTAGAAGAAGGTTATTAGTGGTGTTCTTCGTGGTTCAGACCGATCTTGTTTGCTATATTCATTAATGATTTATGTAAGAATATCAAATCATCATGTAAAATTTTTGCTGATGATTCTAAAATATGTAATTCAGTAAGAACTAAAAACCAGGTTGAAAAATTAAGGTCCGATCTCAAGATATTAACTAATTGGTCAAAGGAGTGGATGTTCGATTTTATTATTGAAAAGTGTAAGGTTATGCATTTGGGAATAAATAATACCAAGCAAGATTATTTCATGAATGAGGTTAAGCTAACTGTTACAGATACTGAAAAAGATTTAGGGATATTACATTCTTTGGACTTGAAAGTTCAGTGCCATATTTCAGAAGTTACTAGGAAGGCCAACCAAATTCTTGGAATCATAAGATCTTCCTTTGAGTTTCTGGATGCTGAGACATTTTTAATATTATATAAGACTTATGTAAGACCACATTTGGAATATACTGTACAAGCTTAGTCACTATACCTAAAAAAAGATATTGATGTCTTGGAAAGAGTGCAAAGAGCTACAAAACTGGTTCCTGAGCTAAAGGATAAACCATATGAAGAGAGACTGAAGAGATTAAATCTAACTACACTGGAGGGAAGGAGGCATAAAGAAGACATAATAGAGACCTTTAAGATTATCAATGGATTTGAAAATATAAGTGCTGAAAAATTATTTATAATAAATCAAAGGGACCCAGCAAAAGTATACAAAAAAACAATGTAATAAGGAAATAAGAAGAAATTTCTATACACAAAGAGTTTTAAGCAAATGGAATGAAATATTCAATCATGATAGAGATATTCTGGAGGCAATATCGGTGAATGCTTTTAAGAACAAATATGATAAAGCATCTAATTGTTAAAGAAAAGAAATAAGTATAAATAGTGATAAACTTTAAATTGTTATTTGTGGAGAGGTGGGCAACAAGCACTAATAAGTGCACTCAAACTCGCTTATTATTACTGTGAATAGCATTAGTACTAATAATAGTAGCAATAAAATAAAGACAGGAGGATTAATAATTTTTATTGTATTTATAAATTATAGCATAAATAAAGTAAAAAATTATGCCTAGCACTGCTACAGTAAACCTTTATTATATTACATTAGCTTATTATTGACATTGAAATGACATTGACAGTGTGGGTGAGGGTCTAGTTAGATTATAAATAGTGTGATTTCAAGTGCTGAAGTAACTGCCACACTTCTATAGAGTTAATTTTGAGAAATAGACCTTTTTTTCTCTGTCTCATTCAACATTAGAAGTTATTGGCCGTGCATGAAGTAATCTGTTTCCTGTATCTTCCATACTGTAGTGCAAGTTACCAAATAAAACAAATGAAGTGACTTGTGTATATAGTGAATCTCAATTATATTTCTAACTTCTATTAAACTTAAACAAGGTTGAATTACTACAACTGAAAATCTTCCAATATTTATTCACGGTTTCTTTGTATCCCATATAGTTAGAGTATAATTAAAAGATCCTTGTATGTTAGGTAAGTTTTTCAGTAACTTAGATCTTGTAACATCACAAATTATTTAATAAGTTCCCAAGTTCTTTATTCAATAGCTTTTTTACCTTGAACACACATGAATTTACTGTATACCAAACACTTAAGTTATCCTAGTACTGATACAAATATGATGTGACAGGTGCCATGCTTCATCAGTTGGGGAATTTACTCATCTGATCATTGTCAACCATTTTTAGTGAACATCTAAATGTTTTGATATGTATGTGATATATGAAGAAACTATTTCTGCTTCACTTTGCATATGAGTTGAGCATTGATAATTACGAATACATGATGCTGTCTTACAAGTTTATCACCAAACTTTGCTTTACCAACAAGCAACTGACAAAACATCAGACATACTCCTGAGTTAGTTAGAGATTAATCTGAAGTGTAAACAGTAATTATGTTTGGGAGGAAGGTTTTTTTTCTGAACTAAAAAAATTAGACAAAAATGAAATATAAAAAATTGGTTAAGGTACTTGAAAAATATTAATTGTGCAGTCTTCCAGTCAGTTTTCAGTGATAATTTTTGACACTTCAGTGCAAGTGTCACTTCATGGAAAATATTGATGACTGATTAAAAGATTAAATACTAAACAACAGACACAAAATCAAACTTGATGTTGGATTGTTGAAAAGTAATAACAATAAGATAAGGCAAGTTGATTGGGACAGTTAGCCTTAGTTGTGAAAGGCTGTTCCAATGCAAAAACAAAAGTCCACAATTTCTTGTAGCAAAGAAATAATCAGATGATTTCTGTCAATATGGATAGAAAGGTCATTATTTTCTTTTACTCATTTTGCACACTTAGTAATCCATGTACACTGCTTAAGAAAACACTTAGAATGGGATTGTATTCAAACAAATAAAAAAGATGTGACTGGTTTTCATCCAAAGATTTAGAAAAATCAGGGTGGGTGGGAGACATTTATTTTTTAATCTTACCTTTTATTACTTAGCCTGATATTGTGCATAAAACTACTGGACAAGAAGGCTGTTTACTCCAATCTGCGAACATTTTTATTCTAAATAATGATTAATTAAATGGCAGAAGGAATACTAAACAATGAACTTTGGCTGCTGATCATCTAGTAGAAAAAAATGAAGCAAAGATACCAAAGTAGGGGTGAACATGGACAAAAATAAATTTTTTTTAGTTGGCCTTAGATGAGTTGAACTGTCCTATGGCTTGAGTAAAAACTGATCTATACTCGTTTACAGTTCTTCCACCAGATTGTTGTTACCATAAGAAAGTCAGTTGTCAAGGTGTTTATGTTCTTTTGAATGTAATATGTATGTGAGTGTGTGTGTGTATATATATAACAAACTTAATTATAAATTGGAATTCAAGCTTGAAACTTTTGTGATGTAAGGTTAATAAACAACAGATTGGGCATAATTCTTAAATTTTGCACAATTGTTGAATGAAGCTGTTTTAGTAGATTTATAGGTGAAAAACTTACACAGTATCAGTGGTACATTTTCTGTTTGCATGTGGTTATGCATTTTCTTCAGTTAAGTCAAAAACTTCATACATTATGGCAGATTTAAAGTTCAAATGCCAGATCATTTAAGTGACAAAAATAAATTTATATCAATAGCATGAATTTTAACTAAACCCAAACATAAAATGAATGTTAAACTATTTTATAAATTCTTGTTTTTATAATATTTATTGCATTGTTAAAGATGAATGATTTTAGGCAAATATGATTGGATAATCATACTTCAGTGCATTGTATAATACTGTTTGAGATGCATTCTTATCCTGTTTTGATTGATTTTATTTTCAAATACATGTACAAGTTAACTGTTTGTTATGATTTTTTTGTTTTTTTTTACTGATGTAAAATCCCCAAAAGTTAACTCTCTATTGCAATCCAGAATACAAGTAGTTTGTTTGTACAAGTGCATAGCTACTTATGTTCTTTATTTAGTTTCAGGTTACAGCTATCATGGCAAATAAAAATTGAAGTGACAGATATGGTTTGTGACTGCTTATTTTTCAATCCAAACCTATTGTTTAAATCAATCATAATAAATATATACAAATCTCCTTTATTATTGTCCTTGAATACCCAACTTAGAGAGAAGTAAGATATAAACCCTTCCATTTTTTGTTTTCAGAAAATTATTGATTCCATTCTTAAACTTCTGTAAAATGTATGTTTGCACTACTGCTGATGGCAACTCGTTCCATAAGTGAATCACCTTGTGAGAAAAATAAATGTCTTAGCTGGATCTGAGCCTGTCTTTTTCAGATATTAAGCTTGTGTTTTCTCATCCTTTATCCGAAAATGGCACAACGAAATCAGAGGCCTTCATCTTATTGATCTTCCAGATAATCTTGTAAACTTCAATAAGATCACATCTTACCCTTCTTAAAAGAAAATAAATTAGAAAGAGACCTAAACCTATTCCTGTAAGGTAATCTTTCCATATCTTAAATCACTCTAGTAGTCCACCTCTGAACTCTTTCCAGTAAGCTAATGACCTAAGGAGATCAAACCTATACATAGAATTGAACACGGAGTCTAAGTATATATAGAGATAACTTTTTCTTTTGATTTTTAATCAGTATGTTTAT